AGAGAGAATGAATCGTCCATCCACTAGGTCATTCTTCTAATGGCTCCGGCAGTAAGGGCTGGGCTAGGCCAAAGCCAGGAGCCTGGAACTCCATCTGGGTCTCCCATGTGGGTGTCAGGGTCCAAGCACTTGGGCTATTTTCTGCTGCTTTCTCAGGTACACTAGCAGGGAGCTGGATTTTGTGGAGCAGCTGAGATTAGAACTGGCATTCATATGCTCCAAGTCAATGAGAATTTACACCTTCTTAATAATACATGTGTCAGGACTGGCGCTGTGGCTTAGTGGGTAAAGCCACCACTTGCAGTGCCAGCATTCCATATGGGTGCCAGTTCTAGTCCCAGCTGCTCCACTTCTGATCCAGCTCTCTGCTATGGCCTGGGGAAGCAGTGGAAGATGGCCCAAGTCCTTGGGCCCCTGCACCTGCATGGGAAACCCAGAAGAAGCTCCTGACTCCAGATCAGCACAGCTCCGGCCGTTGCGGCCAATTAGGGAATGAACCAGTGGATGGAAGACCTCTCTCAATCTTTCTGCTTCTGCCTCTCTGTAACTCTGCCTTTCAAATAAAATAAATAGGTCTTAAAAAAAAATACATGTGTCACATTCTGAGGGGAGAAAAGAATGAACAAGATCTTTGATTACCCCTTTTTAAATGTCACACTCTGAAGATGACTATAATTTAGCATTTTGAAAGATGAATATTTATGTAGCATCAGATTATTTCCTCCTCATTCCGATTATAAATAGACAATGGAAAATAGGCCACTATGTTCACAGAATTAATTACATATACATTTCTAACTAATTCTTAAATAATTTAAAAAAAGATTTTAAAAATGATTTTATTTATATAAAGGGAGCAAACTTCATATGTAAAGTTTTAAGCTCCTTCCCATTAAGATACAAAGGAAATATGTATTTATTTAATTTAAAATTTAAAACTCTCCTGCTTTCAACAAGAATCAATCGGGGCAGGCATTGAGGCACAGGCTAAGCCACTTGAAATGCCAGCATCACATGTCAGAGTGCTGGGCCAGGGCCTAGGTTCCTCTGCTTCCAATCCATCATCCTGCTAATGCTTCCTGAGAGGCAGCAGCAAATAGCTCAAGTACTTGGGCTCCTGCCACATAGGAGATGAGGATGGAGTTTTGGGCTCCAGCTTCATGCTGGCCCAGCCTTAGCTGCTGTGGGCATTTGAGGAGTACACTAGTGGACAGAAGTGCAAACTCTCTCTCTTGCTCGCTCCTTTCATGAAAGGCTTCATCTCTGCTTCATACTCCAATCCTTGTCTTGGCAGAGAAGAAATTATTATAAAAATTATTAAGGGAATAGCAAAGGGCTGTTTTTGTACATTCATTACATTCACAGTGAGGGAAATTTTCTATCTTACCAACATCAGTACATCTAATATAAAATCAACAATTAAATAACTGGCAGCTTTTCTGGGTAAGAAATACATTGACATTGTAAGTAAAACAATATTTATTTCAATTTATAAACATGCTTAGCATAGATTAGACTAATTTCCACTGAGATAAATGCTATATAATATCTGTCATGCTAAGCATCGCATTTTTTTTTTCTAGAAAACCAGCAGCTACTTTAAAGGAGTATCTGGGATATGCCCCTGAATTTCACCTACACTCTCTCCAATCCTTCTAAGAAACACACAAAGTAGCTATTATTACCAATGAGACCGGAGACTGAGAATTTACCCCATTTGCCCAAGGCCACACGGCCAATTATAAGTGAAGAGGTCACCAAATATACCCAAGTCCACCTGGCTTCAAAGCCTGCTGCTCTCTCCATTAAACAAAACCTTTTTGCCATCACTCCTCTTCCCCTTCAGCGCTTTTTGTTGAACTTTTCTTACAACAGTTACATCATCTATTTGAAGAAGTCAGACACCCTCCGTCCTCAACGGTGCGCTGTCAGATCCCATTTGGGTCACCTTGTCTACCACTTACTTGTTTATTCCTTCTTCCTCTAGTCTCTTCCTTTCCCAAATCCAAGAGTAGGTGAAACCGACTATTTCAGCTACACCAAAGACACTTTACATACCACACTAAAAGAAAATATTTTTATATTCCTTGATAGTGCTATGTATGCAATAAGGTTATAAAATAGAGGAATGCTAGCTATTATAGCAAAATTAATAAACCCAGTCTGAGTAGTAAGCTAAAGCCATGCTGGTAATCTGTCTCTTTAGTATCCAATTTTAAAATGTTCTTCTAATTAATCCTACATATTCATGGGGATAATCCTAAAGGCAGGATAATCTTTGTGTGTTTCCTGTATTAGTCTGACAACTCACTCAGCCACTACCTCCAAAGCCCAAAATCACCCACAAGAAGCCAACTGCCTATCGCTTTAATCCAGGCTGGGACTTCCTTTTGTCCCTGAGACACAAGCTTGCCTGCTTTAGACCCACTTGAGGATTAACGTAAGGAGAATGTTATGAATCTTGTCTCCAAAAATCTCTTATATTAAATTTCACATTCATGCAAAAGTGAGAATCTCTGTTTTCTCAAGATTTTACATTGCCTCAGGCCTTCAATCTCTGGGGAAAAGAAAACCCTTCTATTTTTCCTATTACCAGGACACATCCATTCTTTACAACAATTACTGCTTGTATGCATTCCTTTCTCCTAAACAATTCATCCAAAAGGCTTTAGTTAAAATCATGCTCAATCACCACCTTAGCTGTCATTTTTTTCTTCTTTCAACGTTTTCTCAATTTTGCATAGTATGACTTCATACTTGTCCCACAATTTTTCCTTAGTTCTTTCATCCTCTCTTTTGCTGCCCAGGTAGATCAACACAAGCTCAACTTTATGCTTTCCTTACTTGTGCCCATATTGTCCTGTGAGCAACCTCCTCACTTTGATTTCACAACTGCATTTTTATTATTCAAAAATCTGACATCTTAGAAACACAAGCCCACTTAAATAAACAAAACACACATATCCACTAGCTTTCGTATTCATTCAACTCTATGAAATATACTTTCAAAACTTTGCAGTAAAGTAAAAAGAGAGCAAAGAAACATCCAAGTCTTATACATATGATATGCCTGTAAAAATCTCACAGTAAAAATAACTTCATATGTAAGATTTCACCCTTCACAATAAAATATTTATTTGAAGATGAAAGGAAATAATATTAATCTTATATGTTAATCATAAAAAACATAAATTTAATAATAGGAAACCAGCACGTCATTTTTTCAGATCTTTAAAAATATTTTAATCATGCAAAATCATTATAATGTACTGTAGCACAATGTTAAAATGCTACTTAACATGAAGTAGATTTTATTACTTTACAGGATGTATACTTGGCAATAGTTATTAAAAATAATTACTCTAAAGGAACTCTAAATGTATTATTTTAGAAACAGTATTTTAAAATATAGCAGTAAGCAAGAGAAACTATTGCTCTTTATCCACTTTTGGCATAACACTGCCATACACTTACAGAATTATAAAGTAAGTATGTTATAGTACCATACAGATCCAGAAACTGGTTACAACTTCTACCACATACACATGGTATTGGTACTAACAAACATGCATAGCATCCTGTAATTCAAATTACCGCTGAATGCAGAGCACAGAGAAGACCTGGTGGCCACTCGAGTCCAAGCCCACGTGGTAAGTAAAACACACCTCTGCGAGAATCCTACCCACTTTCCTAAACTATTCAAATTACAAAGGACACAACAGTTTCCAAATTGAAAAAGTAACTGGACTTAGTCTGCCATCTATCTTCTTAGAGAATACTAAAGAAGAACAGACATCTTATTTAGGATAGAACAGTAAAAGCCCTTTCTTTAAAAGGGAAAACAGATGTCTGTCAAAGGATCCAACAGTTGGTGCTCATTTGTTTCTCTCAATTGTAACACCACACAACAAAGATGCTGTCAACTCTGGCCAGTATGGGAGACGGACACTTCACTCACAAACACCTATCACTGACTCCTCTCTTAATTGAAGACAGTTCCTCAATTTAACTTATTAATAAAACCACCCACTGATGGTACACACAGACAAAGGAATTAAACTTGGTATCTAGTCACTTGATTACTTCTATCACTCTACTGGAAGGTTTCAAATGGACTAAACAGAATTCAGGTTCAAATGAAAATACTAATGGGATCTGTTTCCACACAGATTCCTGACATCCTGGCACAAATGTGACGTGGATTCATGAAACATCCCCACTCGGCAGCTTTTCTGGATCCTTCATCACGTCCAGTAATTCTGACACCTGCAAACACTTATCATTAATTAGGCCTTTATTTCTATAGCTTCTTATTACTGTTTCTAATCTTGTTGGTATTCTTTTCCTTTACATAAAACTAAATGTTTTCACCCTGAAATAACACTCATTTGATCTTTGGGTGCAGGATTTCTTAGGACTAAAGCTTATTAGATAACCAATGCCCCTAGTTAGTGGAAATTGTTCTACCAACTCCTTTATAATTTAAAAGATCAAAATATGATAAATATTTTCCATATTTGTTAGAAAAAGTCTTTTACCATATGTGAACATTAATGCTTATTCTCTGAGGTTTTTATATATCCTAATGAAAGAGCCCAAAATCACTTTGATTAAAGAAGTGGAGTATGGGGGGGAGTAGTATTACAATGTTTCCCAAGATAGTTATAAAGATATAGCTATAATTTACCTAGCAGGTGCCCAACCAGTCACAATTTTTGGAACTATAAAGTGGCAGCAAATAAATTACAGTAGATACTCTGTAAAAATTGATGTTCATTAAAATTTTATATGGAGTCCAAGGTGGCTTATGTCCTCCAGAAGTCAGAGATGACAGGCCTAGCGCCCTCAGTACCTCGAGGGGCTCAGAGGATCCACCTATGCCAGTGGAGGGTCGGCTCAGTGCTAGCTCTGCCTCGCCAGGATGCTCTCTCTAACTCTTATCTCCCCCACTCTATAATCTACTTCCATTAGGGATTCAGGCCATAACACAAAGCACATCATAATATTCTCCACATGAAAACTTTAATTCAAGAAAACAAACATATTAAGAAGTTATTTCCCACAAATAACTGAAACAAATCACAACAGAATAAGAACAAAGTAGGAGATGACAACACTCTCTGTAGTATAGAAAAAGGCAAGAACAGTGCTTTTTAAATGTTTCCAAAGACTATGGCATAAAAGTTTTTGAAATTAATGTCAAATTTCCCCAAACAATTGGAATTAAACATTCAATTATTTCTCTAATATGATTCCAGTTTTTATATCCACCTAAATCTAAGAACAAGAAGTAAAACACAGACAAGTATTACTTGTAGTAACTAAGGAATGTTTAAAATTAAAATTACAGCATATAGAGAAGCTAAGAAAAAGCACAACAAATGTAACAACAATATAGGTTAAACTTTCTTACTCTAAACCCTTCTGGTCACACTCACTCAACACAATGTTGAGTACTGTGGTGAGTATACTTAATGAATTGATGCTACTGCCCCAAATGGCAATTTCTTCAAAATGATAAAGCACCAAAGTAAATCTCATCAAAACAACGGGTATTTGTGGTTTGGAAAGCTCCTTATGACAAGATTTTACAATGGAGTAAAAATGTAAACTTCTGAATGAAAGCCGTTTCCATTCATTAAGGCACATCTGGATACCTCCAGGCATTCATATTTATAATTATTATTAATTTCACAAGTAAATAAATTCTAAAAACACAGCCTGGGAACACAATCTGCTGAGCGGGTTGAATCACAGGAACAGGGGAGGAGGCAGGGTAGTACACACTGTCCCTTTACAGGTCACCCATACAAATCTGTTTCTGAAGTCAACAGTACAGAATTCAAAGTCCAAAGAAGCCAGTAGTCAAAACTCTCCTAATTTTCTAGATCTTCATTGACCTAGACCTCTTTTCTCTACAACTGTACCTACACTTGAAGCGACTGCAGCACATCTAATTCCAGTCTATCTTATAGGTAATGTATACTCCAAATGAGAATGGGGAATTTTCTGAGTGGGCAAAAACCAGAAATCTTAAAAAAAATCCTATAGGAGACCCCAGTTAACCCAGACTCCAAAGATGTATAGATCATAAAGATTTTAGAAGTGCCTCAATTATAGCTTAAAACTTGATTTAGTTACTCAATAAAACTCAACCATAACTCAACCACAAACTTGGGAAATGACACTGAAACAATAACTGTATATTCTCCATCTATCAGGTAACCAAATTTTGACCACTGGTATGGATATTTATTTATTTTGTAAAGGCTAACTCGGGTGTAATACTACACTGTTTTTCCCTTTTCACTAGATCATACTTTCACTCAGATTAAAGTATACAAACTCTAGAAGCAGACTAGATAAATTCATATGAAAGAATATGAAATATAATGACTGCAGCAGGGGTTATGGCATTTTCATATGTTTACATTTTTAATACTGAGCCAAGAGTCTTAGAACCTCTCTAGCAACTCTTGAGTTGCTATTTCCTCTTTGAATTTGGGAATAAATAATCTCAAAACCTAAATTCAAAATAAAACTAGATAACATAATTTTTGAATCGACAACTAGATTTAGTGAGAACAAATACACTTTCACTTCTATTATGATCTTTTCTGAGTTTCTTAGGAGATTGAGCATGAAAATGTACAATGGTATCATATTCTTAATTTTATAAACTTTTTTCTCTACTTACAGAAATATAGCTTATAATTAAATATCATTTTACAGTATTTCAAAATATTTTCACATATTTTATCTCCTTTGATATATGAAAGCACAAAATATTAGAAATGTACTACACTAATCAAGCAATATAGCTTCTATTTGCCATGAAATGCAAGTTTATATTTTATCAAGTCAATATTTAGTATCCTTGCAGTCTGTGGTACAATAAAGACTATATATTTGCAAAGATTCAATAATATTTCTAGCTATTTACCCATGCTTCACTGAATTTTTTATAACAGCTTCTCAGTAAATTGCTTCAAGCATATTTTAGTTTTTAAAAATACCAAACATACGAGTAAGACACAAGAGGCTGTTTCATTATCTAAGACACACATAAATACATATCTATAGGTCTTATTTAAAAAAACTGTTAAATGTAAAAAGTGTTCATAATAAAAAAATTATAGATACTCAATTTTTATTTGCAAAAGGAAATGACATCCCCTTATTTATTCTCCATTGAATAACTCTCTCATAAGTTATGTGCACATTAAATGTAGGAAACACAGTCACACATGAATATTCATCAAAAAAAAAAAAAAAACATGGTGAAAAAAGGCCACCAAGTTAGATGGAAGCCAGGCAGCTTTCCCCTTGAAACTAAATATTCGCATACTAAATGGGACATAGTAATTGAAATCTCTAAGTATGAGTAATATTCTAAAAGTTAAATCATTAATAAAATGTTCTGACTTCTAGGAGTTTTGATATACTGCTATTTCTAAGTAATTCAGATTATACTCATTTATTTTACTGTCTGGTAACTTAATATTTTAATATCTGATCATAATTTTTAAGATTATGTATTTAGGAAGCATACTGTTACCATGTATGCATTACTATGTATGCAGAATTGGTGAGATAATTTGAATTAAATTAATCCTATTCCTACCATTCAGCATAGTTTGACAACCTATTCTCATCCCCGAAACCTTATGAAGAATATATAGTGAGCTCTATGGGGATACTGTTAACAACAAGCACCATGAATGAGAATCCATGTATTTCTTGTACATAAAAAAATCAAACTGAAGTGCAACAGCAATTGTTTCCTCAAACCCTCATACTCACTTCAGAAAACAACAAAAAGCAAAAAAGTTGTCCATTATGGAAATTAAAAATGTAAAAATGTTCTATGTGGTACCTACAATGTGATATGAAACAAGAGTTCTACTAAGACTCAGAAAAATTAGTTAGGGATTGGATGGTTTCATATAAACTTCAAAGCAATAAAATCATATGCCTTAATAGGTATAACTATTTTTCAGAAATCCACTGCTGAAAGCATGGCTCAATGGAGGTAAAAGAAGGTGACACGACATGATATGAGATAGGACATAGTAAACATTCTCTGGGAGGACACGGTGAACAGAACTTTTCCTGAGAGCCTGAGACACAAAAAAAATTCCTTTCTAAATGAAATAAAATGAAAATGCTTTACCTATTAATCGCTTGAACTATATTTGTATAAATGCTTTAAAGTTCTCATTGCGGTGTTTAGGTTTCCAATTTGTAATATATTATAGGAAGTCAAATTGTCCTTAACCAATATTATATAACATATTGAGTGCTTAGTATATATGGAATTTCAAATCTGTTCTCAAATTTCAAAGTTTGACAACTTAGAGATGCATCAAATTATATGTGTGTGTGCATGTGTGTGATAAAGATACACTGTGGATTAAACATTATTAATTTCATAACCCACAAAATACTGAGATATTCATGTTTAAAGGAACTACTGCCTTTTTGACAACAAAAGAAACATGTCTTTTAAAAGTGAGTAATTTCCTTCTTAGTTTTTCATTCTTTGGTAATTTGCATCAAAATCAACCGTTAAATTGATAGGGTACAGCCACAGAAAGAAAAGTTCTTTTCTGGGACTTGTGCATCAAAATGTGTTTTTATGCACTAACAGAAAGCTTTTCTATTCTTTTAAACAAAGTAAATTCTTGAACTCATACAATTAAAAGCCCCCTCTGTTCCATTTAGACTTTGCTCTAGGTGATTATCCTAACGTATACTAGAAATGTACACGGTGGCTGACAGAGATGGTGGCTCAGGAGTAGGCATGGAAAGAGGGGAAAAGGAAAAGATAGTAACACTGGCAGACGAGGGCATCCATCTCATTATCAGAATGTAAAACACCTGGAGGTGTTGTAATCAAAGAACCCAGATTACTTTCTGAAAGCATCTGGGAAAACCGAACTTTCTTAGAGCTTAAAAGAATTAATCCATAAATCAGGTATGACAATACAATGAAATTATCCTCTTGATTTTCTTCATGGAGACTGTAATCTCTTGAAAGACTCTATTTGATTTATCAGATACTACATGATTATTTCTAGATACCTTGAAACTAATTTAAAAGTAATTCTATACAGAATTTAAAAACTCACATCCTAAAAGCACTACAGAATATATTTATTTATTGGATCTTGTCTTAAAACTTACTAAATATCCAATTCAATATCGTTCAAAATTTTAAAAAAACCAAACAACCACAAAATGCTTCCAACAGAAATCACAAACAGATGGCTGAAATTTGAAATGTGAACTCATCTCTGTTCTTTAGGAAAAATGCCATACCAGTTTTTTCCTCCCTTACCTAAATTGATTTGTGGGCTTTCTGATAATTCATTGTGTTAGTATATCATCATGACAACTTGTATTTCCGGGATTCTCATTGTCTTTGTTAGGATTTTCACCTTCATTTTCTTCAGGAGATGCACTCTCGTTCTTTTCTGTGGGATTAGTAGCTGTTTTTTCAGGTTGTGGGGTTGGGTTTTCAACATTACTGTCCTTGTCTGTGTTTCTTGGCTTGGTAGCTTCATTGCTGGGCTCTGGGCTGGGCCTATCTGTTTCTTCCCCAGGTTCTTGTGGTGCTGCTTTTTTTTCATCCACTGCTTTGCTATTTAAATGAGCAGACGAGGAGGAGTTTTTGGAGTCCTTGGATTTTTTGTGCACAGAAGTCTGATTGTTGTGACTGGGGGCAGGGGCAGCAGGCATTTTCTGAGTTTTGCTTCCTTCTGATTGTTCCTTTCTGGGTGGTCCCCAGATAAAATTCTCTGAAGGCGTGTAATGTTTCTGGGCAAACCTCAGGAGCTTCCTCCTTTCTCTTCTGTCTCTAATTGTATAAACAAAATACTCCAGAGCACTCTGCTTAATATTGGGAATAGTATTTTCCACAAGAGCCTCGTGAAGAATAAATTTTACAAGAGGAGATTTAAAACTTTCATACCCAAGCTCACCAAGGCTTTTAAGAATGCGAGTGATTCTTAAATAGTTGTGCTGAGACCTGTAAAAGAGGATTGAATAAAATGAAGGGGAAAGTCAAGTGGAAGAAAGCAGGGGAATGAAAATGATCAGAGAAGCATTTTTTTTTATGGAACTGTAAGTCATACAAACATACTTTGTAAAGACTTTCTGAAAAAGATCTTATTAGACACCATTAAGAAGAGTAAATTAGAAGGTATTAAACCCTTACACCTCAATGTAATGTCAATCTATGTGAAACTAAAAAGTATGAAACAAACTGCCTTTGTTTATTTTGTGTTCTTCCTATTAGGAAAATATTTAGATTTAAATTCAGCTCCACTGATGTTGAATTGTTTGTTCATTAAAGAGAGCATTTATTTGCGACACCACCAATGTACTGGTTCTGATGCAGGTACCCAGTACTGAAAATACACACATCAGCTAACAGTTCAGTGCAGCAATTTACATCATTTGATCAGCAAAATCTACTATATAAACCCACTCAAAAGAAAAGCAGCAAAAACTACTCTACCTTGATTAACCAATTCTCACAAAGGATACAAAACTGACATTTTGCAGAGCATAATTCAATAGTCAAGAGGGTGGGCTTCAGACTCAGACCCAAATTCATACCCTGGCTCTGTCACTTAGCAGCTATGTGTAATTACAATGTCTCTTAGTGTCCTCATCTGTAAAACAGGGGATATGTCCTGCAACTTGCTGGACTGTTGTAAGAACTGAACGACAAGACACATATTCAGGGCAACAAGAATTCAATAAATATTAGAGGCTTTTTAAAACTATTGTCATCATTGTTATTGTCATTTAAAGGTTTAGTACATCTTTGTACTTATCCCAACTTGATAAATGCATTCTCTAACATCCCAAGACACTCCTTCCTCCTTATTCCCTACCAAAGAATTTTAAATCTTATTTCTAAAGGCCTTGATTCTAATGATACATTTTCCATGAGATTACACTAAAATCTTTCCTTTCTTTCTCAAAACTAACATTACTTGATTCATGTTTTCCAAATGTGTTTTCGTCACAATTCATAATCTGTCTACCCAGCCTCACTCACTCAGCTCAATCCATGCCTTATTGCACATAGTTGGCCAAATCTTGAAATAAACTCATGTGTCATCGACAAACCAGGTATTTATTTACACAATATCGCTACATAACCACAGTCATCACTTACCTCTAACTCCCTAAAGCCTGTTTTAAATCTCAGGCATTAACTTTGCACAAGCACTGCATATACCTGTCCTAGTTTCCAAAACTGCCTTGAGTTTTTACGTAGGAATAAGTAGGAAATTATTTGAGAAAGGTGGAGAAGGAGGTTGAGAGATGGAAGGGGAAAATTCCATGGTTTTATAGTTTGTTAGGAGAGATGCTTGGACAAAACAAAAAGCATAATCATTCAAATTAACCAAATACTGGAAAAGACAAACCCCACAGTTATGATCATCTTCATCCTTCTGGGTGTTTACTGCAACAGTGTTATCTTAACATTCAGCTCTGAGAAGTCCAAAGGGTAAAACATTCTACAGATAATGTCTCAGCACTATGAGTCTGTACTTTTTATAGTTAGGATGTAAGAGTCTTTAGAGACAATACGAATGTGGATGAAGTTAAGAAAATGTGCCACTAACAGCAGAGCTGACTTGGCTGTTATGCTCATATGAAGTCTGTATATTCTAAAAACTTAGTGACACAACTCTTGAGCAACATCTGCTTCATGAGTCTATGAGAAAGAGACATATGGAAAGGTGGATGTGCATTTTTTCAAAAAGGAGCTACATGACAAAACAAATACTACATCTGCAATCAGCTTCACATAACCAATCAAAGGCAAATGAGACAAATGGTCAAGCAAAATTTCTGTACACAGGTATCCTTTTCTACATATTCTTCAACTGCATAAAAAAGAGGAAAACTTGGAATGATGAAAACAGTTAACAGAAATCTGCCACAAAACTATAAAAGAAAGCAATTGGGTGTTTCAATATGATTTGAAATAAAAGTTACAATGAGAGACAAACTGTAAAACAGAAGAGTGGCTAAAACCCTTCTTGTGTTGGAAACAGCAGATAAAACAGGGAAGCTGCTATTCCAGATGCCAGCAAAGGGCAGGGCAGTAAATGGTGCTGAAACTGTCAGGGAGAGTAGTTTGGTGAAGAGAGCTCTCACAAAACATAAGAATAGGAGATGTAAGAGTCAAAAGAGATTCCAGGGCCTAAAATATGATTTAGAATGTCTCAGCGATCCAAGCTGATTACAAATAAAACTGGAAATGCATCTTTGTGGTTGGTCTATACATTTATACTTTTGTGCTTGAAAACATTTCACCAGTTTTAATAATGGTCACTTGTTCACTCAACCTTATTTCATTTCACTTGGACGCAATATTTCCCTCTGCTTAAGCTAGTATAACTATACTGGGTTTCCTGCCTACCCTAAAAACCTCAAGATGTCATACAGATTAAAACACAAATAAGTTATGACATTTATGAGTCAATCAGAAAAGAACTCAACTGAAGAAGAAAATGGAATAGATGTTTTTATATCATCCTCTATAATTTGCTCAAGTCTAGTCAATAAAATTTTTTTGGCACTGCCCCAGAGAGGAAACATGTTTTCTGGCAGATTCCAAGACAGTTAATTCACAGCTGGAAAAGGAAAAAAAGAGAGACAATGGTGGTGGAAAGGAAAGAAAGGTAGCTGGATGGGGCAGAGGAGTGAGACATGACTGTTGGCTCTCACTCCCACTCCTCTGACTCAAGCCAGACTATTTAATTAAAGCCTCTAGAAAGGGCCCTGTTTCCGGCTGTAAATCAGAGGATCTGATAATAAAACCCCAAAGGAAGATTTGAGCTGAAGAATATATTTTTTCATCACTTATACATTCAAACAAAATTTACTTAGCAAGATTGTTACTCCAACCCCAAACCACAAGCTGGGGAGGAAGGAGCTCTAAAATGCCAGTTATGAGCACATGAGAGATGAAGTACTATCAGATCTTCTCCAGAGATTTACTTTTGCCATGCGTCTTGTCAACAGGGTACCGGCATACAGCTTTCTTCGGCAGTCTTATAAGTGCTCAGAAACTTTCTCCAGAAATAGTTACCCGCATGCTTAAGTAGAGATACACCTATACTTTCAGTGCCCTACATCAATCAACCTTAACGTGAGTTCTGAGTTAATGAATTTTCTAGCCAGGATCATAAAGCACTATATCCGTATCTTCAGTGTTTTAGTCTAAGCTACTACTATTTTAATACTGATTTTATAAAAGTAATAAAGAAAAAGGAAGGCTTAACATTTTATAGTCATTTTAACAAAATAAGATGAAAGTTACAAAAAATTCAGAGAACTGATGCATAAAGATTTTTTGGTCAAAGAGCAATTACTTTACTGTTTTTTCTTAGTACTTGTCCAGTTTAGACAATTATAATAGGCTAAAAAGTTGATTTTAAAGGACAGCACTCATAAGTTACCCTATATTTTCTTAAAAAGTCAGGTTGCATATGAATAAAATATTTTTTAAAATATACTTTGGTTATAGGTATTAATGCAATTTATAAATTTCCAAGTAAAAGAATATAGCAAAACAAATCCAGGTAAAATAATCTAAAGATTATTATAATTTTCCCTCTTCTTTAGTAAAAAACAAAAATAAAAACAACAAGACACATATCTCATTCTTATTATGTGATTTTCAATTCATGAATTTAATCTAAGAAGATACAATGCCCCCAAAAAGCATACTGCACACCAGTATACACACTGTATTTTTTAGAATACAGAATTATTGAGAATAAAATGTATCCGCTTTTGAATTCAAATTCTTGGCCCAACTGCAAGTTCTTCCTATGTTCTATAAAGAACTCCAACCATAGGAAAATACTGTGCTGGCCCCAAACTTTTCACAGGAGTTTTACTTACTCATTTAGATGCTGAAATCTTTCCTGCCAGTTAACCGCCCGAGCAACATTTCCAGTCTTATCAATTAGTTTTATTCCAAAAAATTCTAGCATCATTTTATAAGCCAGAAGGAATCTTCTAATTGCTTCTTTTGTTTTTTTGAATTCCTAATACAAAAACAGAACAACATCAGCTGAAATGATTCAGCAGCTACCAAGACAGTAATATATAAAATCATCTCATGTTAAATGAAATAAGCCTGTCTTACCTCAATTTCATATGTAGTTAGTTCTTTAGCATAAAAATTCAAGCCTTGTTCTCTCAGGGGAAAAAGCCTATATTTTAAAAAATAAATAATTTTTTTCTATTAACATTGTCTGGAAAACATACATGATTAAACAGGACATGGTTCAAGACAGATAATACATAACTGACCATTGAATGTAAGTATGGTTGTGCTCCAGTTTTTCATAATCTCCTTTCCATTTATTTAGAACTTCTTCAATGTAAACACCTAAGTATTAAACATTTAGAAAGTGAACCATTTAAAACAATGTGAATGTATATTATCATTTGAATTAAAATTCTTTAACATTTAATAACAGCACAAAATGATAATGCTTTTGAAAGATGCATTTCCTACATCAAATATACAATAAGCCTAACTTTTTAAAAAAATATTCATGGCACCTCAAATCAAGAATCACAGAAAAGTCTATTGAGCAATGTACTCTAAAGCAGAGGTTGAGAAACCATAGCCTGCCAGTTGTTTTGTCAATAAAGTTTTATTGAAACAGAGGTATGCACATTCATTTATGCTTTGTCCATGACTGTATTTACACAATAAAAGCAGAGTTGAGTAGCTGCAATATAGAACTATTCTACAAAGCCTGAAATATTTACATATATATTTTTACATATTTAAATATTACATATATATTTACATATCTGCATCTGTACAGAAAAAGGTTTCCCATCCCTATCCTAGAGGCTTATAATAGTTCTTTAAGTACTAGAAAGGATCAAAATGGAATGCATGCCAATGAAAAAGAAAGGAGGAAAACAAGCAAAGGACAAAGAGAAGAGGAGAGAAGTAACGCTAAAAGGAAGAAAAAATGAAAGAGAAAGCTGTGGAGTGCATACTATATGGTTTTCCCAAACAAATCATATACACAGGGTATATTATCCAGAGTAATCTTCAAAAAACTCCTCCAAAGAGGAGGAAATGAAAATCTTTCATTTTACTCTTGACAAATTGTGTGATTTGTTCCAAGTCACACTCCAGGAAAAAGTCAATCTAGGAACAGAACACGGGTCTTTCTGGTTCCACAAAGTAAAAGTCCCTTTCGGCCGGCGCCGCGGCTCACTAGGCTAATCCTCCGCCTAGCGGCGCCGGCACACCGGGTTCTAGTCCCGGTCGGGGCGCCGGATTCTGTCCCGGTTGCCCCTCTTCCAGGCCAGCCCTCTGCTGTGGCCCGGGAGTGCAGTGGAGGATGGCCCAGGTGCTTGGGCCCTGCACCCCATGGGAGACCAGGAAAAGCACCTGGCTCCTGGCTCCTGCCATCGGATCAGCGCGGTGCGCCGGCCACATCGCGCTGGCCGCGGCGGCCATTGGAGGGTGAACCAACGGCAAAAGGAAGACCTTTCTCTCTGTCTCTCTCTCTCTCACTGTCCACTCTGCCTGTCAAAAAAAAAAAAAAAAAAAAAAAAAAAAAAAAAAAGTCCCTTTCACCACATGCCTTTGTTCCCTATAATAATTCACTACAACAAAATGTCCCTGATTCACAAGTCTGTCAAGGTCCTTACAATTGATGATGTGGCCATTTAGTCAGTTTTATACAAAAACACAGTATTTCTCTAAATATAACTCAGCTATTCTTTTCCCCGGGTACCACCAGTTTATAGTATCTGGCCATTTCCACACTGTTTCTAAGTCTTAACTACCACGTGCTACATGACTCTGCATAGGACAGGACTCCCTTTTACTGATATAACACCCAACCTTTGGATCACCTTCCTGAAGTTCACCAAAGTATGCAAGGGTCTGCCATTTTCAAAGCCTTGCAATCCACAACCCTCAAACCCAGGCTTCCATTGCTGTGGATTTGGCTCAGTTTCCACTGACAGCAGAGAGCAGGAAGCAGAGCTGTCTGGTAACACAAATAAGGACTTGAAGGAAAGAAGCTGGCTTTACTGGTTTGACTTGGATAAAGTTAGGATGCCCACCCTGAACCACAGCATGGTACCTCAATGAAATACACAATTTTGTGGTGAACCGACCATAGCAGCTGCAACCTCTCCCTATGGATTTGGAAAAGACTCCTCCAAGGGCAACTGCAGAATTGTGAAGGAGACACAGAGTTAGGAGATTTACTGTATCTATAGTTCCCTGCCCAAGACACTGGAACACTGAACGATCACGGGTGTAGTTTCCTGACCCTTAAATCTGAAAACTGACAAGAAATTCTAAATACAAACAGTACTTTTTAATCACATGCTAAGAATTTTGAGGTATGGCACAGTGGGAAGAGCAGGGGACACTTGGGAATCTACACACAAATTTACCTCAGTTGATTGACTCGGCAAGTCAGTCATTTAGGCTTTAAGACCCAACGACCCAAACTGTAAGATGAGAAAGCCGAATCTGATCTCCTCTAATGATCTTTAATTACCTAAAATTCTAATTCCTGAAACTCTCCTCTCTATTCCTCTCACAAAAGTCACCCTTACTACCTTTCAGATAACAGCCATGATAAACAGTTGGTAAGAAGATATCAGGAATCTAAAGAATTCCTCCAACATTTACTAAGTGGGTGCTCACAATTCTAGTGCTTATGACTTTGGGGACACATTAGACTGCATAGCGAAGCGAAACTAGTCAGTGAACAAAGGCACTAATCATAGAAGAGTAGGAAAGTCTGCTTTCTTACCAAGGTAGCAGATTACTCACCGTCTGGCTTAAATGGAATTTTATTCTTATAAAAACGAAGATTGCTCAAGTCATTTTGATATCGAATATCTTTGAAGTTCTGCTGAAGGAAAAAATAAATCAATCTCCAGCACATGGAAACACAGAAAAGGCACAAAGATCCTTCTTGCACATTTCCTCTCTGACATAATAAAATTAGTAAAACCGAATGGAAACATTTTACATTTAGGAAAAAAAATCCATATTCTTACCGGATATTGGTGTCGGTATTTGTACAAATCCCTCGCAGCATAAAAACTTCTCTTTGGTTTGGCAGTTGCTTCAGTAGCATCAACACCCTAAAACAAAACATGAAATTCTATTTACATGTCAAAGCAAGAAAATTTCACAGAGAAATTTCCAGAACAAATTTAAAATAATGATCATCCATGTGTCAGCATCTTCCTATACCCCTCCAACATGTAATAAGCTTTCTTTAAAGCTTAAATTATTAACTTGTCCAGGGCCAGCACTGTGGTGCAGTGGTTACCACCACTTGTAAAGCTGGTATTCTGTATCAGAATGCTGGTTGGAGTCTTGGCAGTTCTACCTCCAATCCACCTCCTTGCTAATGTGCCTAGAAAAGTAGTAGAGGATAGTCCTTGGGTCCCCGCCTCCCACATGGGAGGCCTGAATGTAGTTCTGGCTCCTGGCTTCATATTAACAAAAATATTATAAATATACTTTTAATAATGCTTATTAGCAACATTTGTTGGCACTCAATTTTCCTAATTTGAACCATAAGCATTATCTTAAGTGATATTACTAAATAAAAAAACCTTATTATTCACCAAAGCCCAGTGGGAGTCAAATGTTATGGGTCATTATCCATCAGAAAGGGAGGCTAAAAGGAATTTAAGATATACATTTTACCATGCATAACAGAAGTGAGCTTATAACAAAATTTATTTTAGAATACATAATACTAAAAATGTGTTAGGAAGGTCGGCGCTGCGGTATAGAAGGCTAAGCCTTCACCTGCAGTACCAGTTCATGTCTCGGCTGTTCCTCTTCCAGTCCAGCTCCCTGCTGATGGCCTGGGAAAGCAGTAGAAGATGGCCCAAGTGCTTGGGCCCCTGTACCTGCTGTAGAGACCTAGAAGAAGCTCCTGGCTCCTGGCTTTGGATGGCTCAGCTTTAGCCATTGCGGCCATCTGGAGAGTGAACCAGAAGATGGAAGACCTTTCTCTCTGTTTCTCTCTCTCTGCAACTCTACCTCTCAAATAAATAAAATCCTAAAATAAAAGTGTCAGGTAATAAATTCTACAAAGAAAACTGTCATTAAATTTGTAACATTTAGCTATACTGGGAAGCAAAATAATATTTAAGAAAAGATTTTAGAATAAATAATAGTTTTTAAATTACATCATTCATAACAATGTGATTGATATAAATATAAAACCTACACACATAAAGCACAAAAGAAGCTCTTAAATGGAATGAGCATCAGATTGAAGTAACTTACATGTAGAAGTTTACTCATATTGTAAGCAAAATTCCTACTGTTAAGAAGTCATTTTTAAAGTATAAGATGCAGGTCAATATAATTGATTTGTATTCTCGAACTATATGTACTATTATAAAGTACAAGAAAGTGCTTTGTGTCCAGTGTCATGCGGAAGGACACTGAGACTGATGGGGATGATGAAAAAGATTACAAAACTTAGAAGTGACTATTAAGAGCTTTGCCCCAAATCCTTTATTTATCATCCTGCACCCCTACCAGTGTTGACAGACTGGCACCCTCTAAGCAAATTTCTCACTTTTTCAAGCAGTGTGATTCTCACTACTACTACAAGTACAGAATACTTTAACACCAGATCCTCTGATGTTTAGCATTAGTTACTCTGTCATGTTACATAAGCAAAGAAAAGCATAAATTCTGGTCCTTGCCACAAGTTTCAAAATAGCTCTGCCTAGCAAGTTTCTGAATCTATTTAGCCTGAGCTACAACCATATGAATCATCATCCTACATTTGTATAGAAAGTACTTTCCACTTACAAAGTATTTACATGCATATTATTTCATTTGATTCTTACAGCACACCTGGTTAATAATTATTAGTGTTTCCATCTTCAAAACAAGGCAACTGAGGCTTAGTGAAGTTGAACAAGACCCAGACCCCAGTGACACTGCAAGAACTGGAATCCCTGGGTCCTGGCCCCAAGTCCAACCAATTAGGTCTGAATCAATTTCATCTCCACTAAAAGTGGAGGACATTACCAATCCAGAAACTTTGGTTTGATTTCAACAGCCCAGGACTTGGAGTCTGAAGACGGTGAGTCTGAACACTGTTATTTAATATCTGCTAGGCCTTAAGCAAATCACTTAACTGGATCTTAGTTTTCTCATCTGTGAAATGAAGATAATGACTCATGCCCTACCTGATTCCCAGTATTATTATGAGAATGACTGCAACCTCCAAACTCTAAATGTGCCAGCATCTTCCTATACTCCTCCAACTCATAATAAGCATACAAAACCTTCCTTCAAGTCCACCTTCAATTAGACCCATACCTCTGCTCCCTTTCATACTAAATCATTACTAATGAAATACCCATACTCCCCACCTCAATATTGCTTCCACCTTTTTCCCCACAACTCATTCCAACCAAGTTTTTGTCTTCAGAATTCCATCATGATGGCTCTTTGTGAACTTCAACAAATCTTCATCTTGCAATTCATCAAACAATTCCTCAATGCTCATCTCAGGCAGTACTGGGCCAACAAATGCATCACTCCTTCCTGAAACATCGTCAGTACCTGGCTTTGAGGGCACTATAATCATCTGGTTTACTTTCTGTCTCATTAGTCTGCCTTATAAGTCTCCTCTTTGACTCTTCTTCTTCCTCCTCTTCACACCTTCTACCCCAGGCTTGGTCCTCATTCCTCATCACTCTTTGATGACCGCCTATCTTTCTAGGACTTTAAATATTTCTGATCTTAGAAACCGATGCCTCCAGTTCTTGGCCAAACCTCCATTCACAGGATTCAAAGGTATAATCAACTACTTAACAACTCCCCTTGGATATATAAAAGGACACCAAACTCAAGAGATTTGTCCACTTAACCTCTAAAGCTGCTGTCTCCCTAGATTTTCTGGTTTGGTTGTTGGCACTATCATTTGTCCAGTATTCACTGGGGCAAAGATGACAGCAATTGAAGTTGTGAATTGTCAGTCTGAAACATACTTTAGAGGTAAATCCTATAGAACATGCAAAGGGATTGAGTATGAAGAGTATGGATAAAATGGGGTTGATAGTCAAAAAGCAAAATCAAAAAGATTTCTTTAGAAGAAATGGTGATATTTAGATGCTGATATTAACTAGAAAAAATAATCATTAGAGGAGAAAATTAATCATTAAAGGACAAATAGTGAGGCTTGGTATGGTCACTTGTTCACTGGGGTTGCAATTAAACAGACTGAAACACTCATTAAACTGTACTCTATGAGGGTACTCAAAAAGTTCATGGAAAATGAAATTTAAAGATCAGCTTATTTTAGTGTGAAAAATGTTGAAATCGTACATAGTTTTTTCATAATATGAATTTTCCACAAACTTTTTGACGGTTCCCTCACATTAGTTGTTCCTGGTTGGTGGGGCTGAATCGTAACTGGTGTATTTTGATATCCTAAACTTATGTAGAAGGTTACTGGAGACAAGTAAAGGGACGAACACTAGAGTACAGCATCTAATACTTTCCTAGGTTTGCAAAGCAAGACAAAACAACAGCGCAGCAAACCACAACACAAGGGGGAGAAGAGGACACTCAGGATTCCAACAGGCCTATGGTTCCTAGATTGGTGACACACATATTCATGTTTGCATCATTCTTTTCCGTATGATTTTGGACAAGTTCCTGTTTTTTTTTTTTTCTAAAATGAGAATTAAAAACAGCACCCCTCCTTAAAATTACAGCTCATTTCAATCACATGTTGAACACAGAACCTGCCCTGACTTTATAATTCCTCTCTACCTAAGCAGAGATGATCATTAACGGGATTTGTTGGCGCTAATGTTTAGGTGCTGGTTCCGGTAAACCCACAGTGGATTTGGGCTCCATTTCCCCACTCGCATTCCCCCGCAGCTGGTAACGGGAGGGCCTAAGGCGGCGCCACAAACCTCCAACAGCCTCACGGGGCACACTTCTTCACAGCACCTCCACAGTTTCTGCTTTTGAGGCTGGTAACTGTTAGTCCGCCAGCGGGCATTCCTCTCTTTCCTAACCTCTCCTGCAAACTGGATTAATCAAAACGATTTAAGCACAGTTGGATCAACAAGTCTTCTGGTGGTAAGATTTTCCAAGTGCCCTGAACTCCTCAGAGAAAGGCCTTCCGGAGGTAAGAACGTGGCGTTTCAACTTGGGATGGGGACCTCTTCTCACAAGACTTCCAATGGCTACAGACGTCCCTGGAGGGGCCAGTGCTAGCTGCTTGGTAGTGCAGTCCCCTCTCTTCGGGATTCGGCTTTACCATTAATACGCACACTAGAAGGTTTTTCACAACGCTCTATTTTTAGACAGGTACCTCCCACCCCACCTTCGCGTTCCCGAGCCGCGCTGCAGAAGCAAAGAAAACACACGTCCAAGTTGGGTTCTGCCTCGGGGACTTCCCGTCGCGGCCCCAGGCAGGCCCCAGGCTCCCGGCCACTGCAGGCCCCCGATCCCCACGGCGGCGGGGCACCCGAGGGCGCGGAGGGGTCGTGCGGCGGGGGGGGACCAGCAGCCGCCCGGCGCCCCTGCACGCGACGGTGGCCCAGCGCTTGCTCTTCCCCCCGGGGGCCAGGGACAGAGGTGCCCCAGGCCGACCGGAGGCCACCAACCGGGCCGCGTACCTGCTCGGCGCCCGCCGCCTCTGCGTCTTCGTCCGGCGCGGGGCTGGCGCGGGACCGCCCGCCGGCTCGCTCCGGGGGCTGCGCGGGCTGCTCGGGCTCCTGCCCCGGGCCCTCGCCGCCGCCGCCGCCGCCTCCCGGCCCCGGCTCCTCAGGCTCCGGCTCCGAGTCCGTCTGCCAGGTGGAGTCGCAGTCCTCCACGGTGGTGGGCTCGCGGAAGCTGACCCCGCCGAGCAGGTTGCCCATTGAAGAGGCGGCAGCGGGCTAGGGGCTGAGGGCTGGGGGGCGGCGGGCCGCGGGGCTCGGGCTGCGGCAGGCGCGCTAGGGCCCG